TAAAATACTTGTAGATTTTGCAATGCAAGTCCCTTGCTGCTGAGTTTTGGGTTTGCTGTACAGGCCATCTGCTCTAAGCATAGTGGATGTTAACACAAGAGCAAAAAACTTGTTAGCCAATTCTTTTACTTTCTACCACAAAACAGAAACCTGGTACTTTTCCCACCAAACCTTCATTTTTGGGCAGCAGTTTTTATGAATTTGTTTTGTTTGGATGTCTTCTGTAATCCTTAATTTATATGCAACTCTGCAATTTTCAGAATGCCTTTAGAGCTACCTGACACTTTATATTGACAGCTATGACTTTTAGAATCTGATGCCTTTTGATGGGTGTATGTTTACTTCAGAGTTGTTGGAAGGGAAGGAGGAGACCAAAATTAGTAAGTGGACATTGTAGTCACTTGACTAAAACACAGGCATAGAATAAATGTTACATAAAATAAGGGTTCCTCGTAGTGTAAACTGGTATTTGTTTCAAGACTGCAATTTACAGTAAAGGAAATCACTTTGGGGCTAGCTCTTACTTGGGTCGTTGAAATTGTGAAATGAGCATTTTCGTTGCTAGAGCATTTCTAAGAAAAACAGATTCAGAAACCATTGCTGAGATAGCACAAGGCAGTGAACCTCTCTTTGCTGTGCAGTACATGAAGAAGCTTCACATGCAGGAAAGGGCTGTGGAAGAAGTGAAACTTGCTATTAAACCTTTTTACCAGAAGAGGGAGATCACGAAGGAGGAGTACAAGAACATTCTCCGGAAGGCAGTGCAAAAGGTAAGGTGACAGGGCGTTTCACCAGCGTGAGGAGGAGCCGTGCAGGTCCTGAAATAAATGGCAGCACTTTGGATTGCATTTACCGGCTTCAGCAATTACATGCTGTAACTGAGCAGCAGATCTTTGGACTCTGGCTTACAATCTGCAATCTCGTGGTGAAGCAATAGTTGCTTTGTGCAGGGCTGAGTGGTGCCATGAAGAGTTGTCAGGCTGTTCCCTTTAGAAGGTTGTGTTTCAGTGATCCGTAACATTGCTCGGCTTAAGCTCCTGAGCTGAAATGTTAACGTGGTTACATGCCTTGGGTGAGAATGGTCAAATCTCTCATTAACAACTTTGGCCAGAAACATCAAGCTGTTTTTGATGAAGCGAGAAAATACTTTGTGCGTTAATTCCTTGAGCGTCTGTGGTGTCCCTGAACTTTGGAAGAGGGCCTTGCAAATTGGCTGATGTTGACTTTTGTTTCCAGTCTTAGTGCTGACCAGATCGGGGCTAAAAAAGACCTGATCAGCAGGTAAATGTTGTCTTGTGAGAACAAGTAACCCTCTTGTGGTAAAGGCAGTTAAATGACACCCTGGAGAACTGTATTCTCTCCCTGCTTTGTGTTCTTGCTATCACTGAAAAGTTCCATCATAAATCAGGATTCCTGAGATAATAGCTGTGATTTCACATCTTCTACGTGACTCATGTGAGCCTCAAGTGTTGTTTGTAGGAGAGCTGAGCAACACCAATTGCAGCTGAAGTCACTGTGAACTCTTCTCTGAAAACTGATAAAATTCTTTGTAAGGTCTGTTCTCTTCCATAGCTGAAAATGTGCCCTCAAAACTGCCAGATTCTGTTAATCTGAGCATCACTTCCTCAAAATCATCAGAAAAATGGCAAATCAACACTTTTGTGGTTACCATGTATTGTGAAAAACTGGCTAGACAGAAAAGCCTGTAGTAAAAAAGAATAATTCTGCTTTCAGAGATGCTTCTGGATTCAGTTGCTGCTCAGTAGATTACCCCTGGGCCACTTCTGGAGGGCTTGAAGTAAAATATTACTCATATCTTTGAGTTTTCTGCTTTATGTGTCCTGCTAGCTGTGAGACTTAAGGGCAGGAATCAGTTCCCCTGGGAAGCTTAGGGCTGCTTTACAATTTATCTGTGGCCTGCCTGAACTGCTGTTAATTCTGTTAATTGACCAAATGCCTTTTGTAATCCCTTGTAGATCTGCCACAGCAAAAGTGGAGAGATCAACCCCATGAAGGTAGCTAATCTGGTGAAGGCGTACGTGGAGAAATACAAACATATGAGGAAACATAAGAAATCTGATGGTGAAGATACACGTGAAGTGGAAAATTGAGAGCAAGCCACAGCCAGCATGACTCGGACTGGATTTATTCTGGCTGTGAACACTTATGCCAGAGGGAATAACAGATCTGCAGTTGCATCTTATTGAAAATAAGCAAGATTAAAATGGGATTTATCTGCGGAACCTTCTTTTGAATTGTTTCCATAGGGGAATGAACTTGGGGTGGTTGTTTGGTTTCTTTTTTTGATTACCTACAGATGTAGAACTAAATAACAATCAAATGCCTCAGACCAGCAGAGTAATTCGAGGGGAAACACAGAAGAGATTAATGTTTGGGACTCCCGGATTGCTACCGTTTTCAGGGTTACTTTGATTACATTTTGGGGCTGTGCACCTGTCTTGCTAAAAGTTTGAAACTGGACACCACTTTCATATACAGTATATTGAGAGCTGTATACTGTTTCCCTTGTGTTTATTTATCAAAATATGGATTGTCTTTAGAAACTTCTGATTTAATACTTGAAATGTTGTATTTTTAGCCCATTCAATGGTGAGCAAAGCTTTATTCGCTCATTCGTTTGGGGATTGCGGAAACGAGCTAACCTTTATAAACTGACTTCAGAAACACTGCTCAAGCTGTGGTGTTTATTTACATTCTGTTGGAAGTATCCTGTTAGTGAAAAGTTTAATTTTGGGGTGGGAGACTGTGTTGCACTTCTGTAAATAATGCACTGATGGCTGGTTTTGTGTCTGCCTTTCAGAAAAAAAAAAAAAAAAAAAACAAAAGGAAAAAAAAAGCAAGCATTGTGAATTTTCAGTAACAAGCCGGAGGGTTAAGGTTGAACTGATGTACAGAAGCAGAAATGTAACAGAATTTATAAAGTTATTTTGAATGGTTTTAGTCCCATAGCAGGTGTCATTTGTTTGTCTTACAGCTGCCTCTTGCCCTGGCTATTGTGTGTAAACCTGCACCCTTGGTTCTTGTGTAAGGAATACCGTGTTTCTAGAAGAGGATTGGAGTTGGATAAGTAATTGTTCCTCCTCCTCTGTAGGACGACTGGGTATATGATCAAGAAGTAGTGACTTCATCTTGCTTTCTTCAAAAGCACTCCTTGTCTGCATGTACTGCAGAGCAACCCGTCTTTTAAGTGATCACCTGAAGTACAATCACTTAGAAATATATTCAGCACCCTTGAAGCTGACAAAAAGCATCATTCTCCATCTAACCATGTTAGGGAGAAGACATTTAACAGGGAAGCTGTAGAGAAAACCATTAAGTTACAACTTAGAAACTGGCTTTCCCTTCAACGGGAACGGAATGTAAGCAGTCTGTTGGGCCTGATGTCAGCAGCACCTCTTGAGCAAGGGCTTTCCTAACCTCTTGGAGCGTGCTTGGAAACTGCCCTCTGCTTGTCCTTCAAAGAGAAAACAGTTATGCTCTCTGGGATGAATTTTATTTCAACTGCAGCTTTCCTTTTTCTTTCCCGGTGAGAGTAGGAAAACTCACAATAGCAAGACCTTTGATATCTTCCTGGTATTCCTAACAGTGAACTCTGTTTTTGATTATAAGAAATTTTGGCTGTGGTTCCAAGTACCTGGTTTAGAGGCTTTCTTTTTTTTTTTTTTTTTCCTATTTAAACAAAACAAGCCCATATACCCATGCTGTCTGGACTGGCAAAATGCTTCACTCCCCATCATTCACCATCCTACAGAAGTGTTTATGGATGAGCCCTGAACATTTTTGGAGTTGATGTTTCTTGGCTCTCTTTGCTTCCTGTATGGAAGTGCAGCCTGCATGGAGTGTAAGGGATCGGTAACTTTGGGCTTGCTTTGAAGATTCGGGAGCAAAGGCTCACTAAAGACTGCAAGAAGCTGGAAGAGAAGCTTTGGTTTTACAGTTTGTAGCTTGAATATGTACCCAGCAGGTGGGTGTGGGGTTGGAAATACAAACACTGCTGATTGGTAGGTTTCTTGACCAAGTAAAGTTCAGAAACTTTGATGGTGCTGTTGGCAGGAGAATGAGAGAGTGTGATCTAGTTGAGAAATTGGACACCTTGGGGTGCATCAGAGGAACAATTCTGGAATAACCTGCCTACATGAGTGGAAAAAAAGGAAAAGGTAGGTGGTGTGAAAAACAAAGCTTGACCAAATAAAAGCAACTACCCTGTTGCCCAGGAAGGCAGTGTCAATCTGTGCTGTTCTCAGACTGACTCACTGCTTTAAATTCTTGGTGTTAGCCTTGAATTAGCAGTAAATATAACAGCCTGTTGCAAGATACACAAGGAATGTTAAATTTATTGCCTCTGTGCCTGCTGCTGCCTGGAGGAGGAATAAGGCTGAAAACTGTCCCTCCTGCACGTGCTTTCCCCTGATGTGACGTGAACAGGAAAACTGGCTCTTCCATTGTCTCTACCGTTAAAAATAAATCCATCAAAACTGCCCCTTGGGAGAGACAGTGAGAAACACCTAAAAAATGCCTCTTCTAGCATGTTCTAGAAAACTGTTTCTAGTGTATGTGTGTCCTACTTGCATTTCTTTTTTTTTTTCTTTTTTTTTTCCCTTTCTGGTTGACCATTTTGGCTCAAACACTGCCACCTGTTTAAGGGAAGAAATCGTATTGATTCAACAGGTGCAGTCGTTTGGTGCTAGTACAACCTCCCACCCTCTGCAAGAGTGGTAACACCAGAAGCTCCTTTAGCAGAGGCAGGGACGCTGCTGTAAGAAGCTGACTCAGGATCTACTCTGCCCACATCTTTGTCTCGTCGGTGATCTCCAAAGCTGCTGTGAGGACGTATCCGTGGCCCTGGTATTTGGCCAGAGGTGCTTGGGTTGTTGCAACCTGCTGTGAGGATGGATGGAGAAAGAGAGGGTGGGGTTGCCGGGCAGGACTCGGGGAGGCGGGGAGAGAAATGAGAGTAGGAAACGAAAGGGGGAGGCTGAGGGAGCGGGAGGATGCAGGCGATGCCGCGCTGCAGGGCCGTCACCCAGCCCCGAGCCTGTGAGTAGCTGCCCGAGCTCCTGGCTGCGGTTGGGAGCGGTGGTGGGAGCCCTGGGCCTCCTCTCGCTGCTGGCGCTGGAGGAGAGGCCGTGCGTTGGGGAGAGGGGGGAAGCTTGCTTTCCTGCCGGGCTCCTTGCACATCCCAGGCTCGGGCTGTGGTGCTGAGAGCTGGTGATGGGCCCTGCGGAGGGTGCCTTGCGCAAGGGGATGCCATGCTCAGTGTCATCTGGAGAGGAAGTGAAATGAGGGAGAGGAAAGCAAAGCTGACCATCTCGTTCTAGTATCGTGTGATCCCCGTCCCGCGTCCCCCTGGCACTCTTCTCGCCTGCAAACCTCTCTGCTCTAAGCACCCTCCACGGGGATGTTCTCAGCCATGGCTGAGTGCCGCCTCGTGCGCCCCGTCCCGCAGGGGACCCTGCTGTCCCTGCGTCACTGCCTGGTCTCCTGGGGCTGGGAGTCTTTCTGTGGGGAATCACAGCGTGCATCTGGAGTCGGGGGGAGGATGTGAGAGAGGAAGTGTTTGAACTTGCTGGCCTTGGCCTCAACACATCTCCTTAGCTGTGGTGGAGAGCTGGGGGGGGAGCAGGGTGTATTATTTGGAGCAGGTCTCCTCCTGATGTCGGCTCAGCCCTGCCAGCCGGGGTTAGAAACCTGCTGGTTTCAGGGTAGATGCATCTGCAGTTGGAACTCTCGTGGTGCTTTAATGTTAATGTGATACTTGGCCTACAGGTCAGTGTCTAGAGGACACCTTTTCTTTCTGTGTCTTCAGGCCCAGCCAAGATCCTTCTGCCTTGGCTTTGGTTCCTCTCTTGAGAGGGCACAGGAGCTGCTCAAGCAGCTGTGGTCACGCTGTTCAACCAGCTCCTGTGTTTTGCCTCTGCTTTGCCTTGCTGGCCAAAATGGTCCCAAAGTTGTGCAGAGCTCAAGGGAAAAAATGGTCTGTAACCCGAAGGGTAAAAGCCTCTTAACCACCTTGCTTGTCCCATGCGTCCAGGTCAGGAGCAGGACAGTTTGCGTGAAGTGAGCCTCTCTACCCAGAGGCTGCGTGTGCTGCCTCCAGCCGTCCTCAGCAACCCCATGCTGGAGAGCCTTGACCTCGACAGGAACAAGCTCAGGAGCATCACCGGCATTTCTAAGCTTTGCAACCTGAAGAAGCTAATACTGTCCAAGAATGAGATTGTGAACTTTCCCAATGAAATCCAGAGCCTGGTCTGTTTAGAGAAGCTTGAGCTGAATCAGAACCAAATCTGGGTCATCCCAGAGGGGGTGTTCTCTCATCTCCCCAGGCTTAAACACTTGCGGCTGAACAATAACCGTCTCAGTGCCCTCCCCAGGGACCTGGCAGCTTGTCGAGGCAGCCTCCAGTACCTCAACATCTCCAACAACCTGTTCCGGACCTTCCCCCAGCCTGTCCTGCAGCTGGCACACCTACAGGAGCTCCACATGCAGAATAATGCCCTTCACCAGCTCCCCAAGGAGCTCTTCCAGGGCCAATCTCTGAAAATGTTAAAGGTCAATGGGAACCCCCTCCGGGAGCCACCCAGTGAAGTGTGTGCTGGTGGCATCCAGCAGATCAAGAATTACTTCAACCAGCTTCAACACAATTTGGGGCAGGAAGACAAGAGGGTGAAGACCATGTTCCTGGGGGCCTCACTTGCAGGGAAGTCCACCATCTGCAAAAGCCTGAAGCAAGGGCGAACCAAACTGGTGCCCCAGGAAGAGCGAACAGTTGGGATAGAGATCAGTGAGTTCCGGATCGAGGACTTCAAGTTTCTCTTCTGGGACTTCGCTGGCCAGCTGGAGTACTACATGACTCACCACGTGTTCATCACCCCACAGGCGCTTGTCATCCTCGTCATCAATCTCCACATGTAAGTGCTTGATTCGTTTAAGTGTTTGGATTCGTTTAAGTGTTTGGATTCAAAGTGAAGTGGGAGAAGGAAAAAAAGGGGGCTGGGGAAGCTTTCCCCTGCACAGGTTCGCACCATTTCCACTGGACCTTGATGCCTGCTCTTCTCACTGCTGGAGTAGCTGGCTCTCCCTCTCCCTCTTTTTGAAGATCATTCTTTTAATTAAGCACTAGACCTGTCATCACCTTACCAAGCTCCTCTGTTTTGAGGTGTTAGATGAGCATTAACTCCTTATGTGACAACAGATCCCCATCTAAACAGCTTTGATTTTTGCTGTGGAAATATATCTACACTGTAGAGATATCTCCTGTATCTTGTGGCGCTCCCTGAACATGGAGGGAGCATTGGGCTTGGGCTTTGTTGTACAGAGGGATGCTCCCAGCCACAGCAGGGATGGACTCTTCTACACCCTGTAGCTTTAACTGCCTTAGCTTAAGGATGGGGAAAAAAGGATGAGCTTGGATACAGCCCATGACAGTTTAGGAGATCTGAGCTCTTCTCCACTAAGCCCCTAGGACAGTACAGGATGGATGGTCAGGCCTATGCTGGTGGAAGTTGGCTGGAGATCTGGAGAGGCAAACATGGATTTGGAATTTCCTTTCTCTCCTTCCTAGGTACCAAACTAATGACAAGACTTTCAAGGACCTTGTTGGTTTCTGGATCAACAACTTGTTCATGCGAGTTCCAAACTCAGTGGTGCTTCCCGTGGGAACCCATGTGGACTGCTGTCGGGAGGAGGAGGTGGAGGAGAAGAGGCACGACATCATGACCAAGATCACAGCCATGCTGGTGGAGAGAAAAAGCAACCTTGCTCACTTCATCAACAACCTGGAGGGCAGTGAGGAGCCCGAGTTTTATGTGGACCAGTGGGAGAGGCTGAAGGAGATGGAGAGCTGCACGTTAACCGTACGGCTGAGATTATCATGGTTCCTTCCTGTCTGTGGTCACCCTGTTGTCTCTGGCAGCATGACATGCTACTGGTGGTGGTAACCCAGTGCTAATGAATCAGGCTGCTACTGCAGTCACTCTCTGAGGCTGGGGTGGACATGGTAACCCCTGGCTCTGACCTGCTGGGTCCTTGTCCCTGCTCGATGATGGGCATTTCCTCCTGTGGTTTGTAGCAAGTGCCTGGGGGGGAGTGTGAGAGGGCATTTACCATGGGCATCTGGGGCATCCCCAGATGATTTTCTGGGAACTGGTGCAGAGCAAAGGTGTGAAGGAAGCACCCTCTGAAGCTGAGCCAGCAGCGCGTGTCCAATCCTTGGTGACCTCCTTGGCATTAGGTCCCCCCTTCATCTCACAGGCTAAAAGACTCCTCTGAATGTGCTTTTGTCAGGTATTGTGCTTTCTCTCTTCCAGATCTTAGACTTAGTTGCTGTCAACTGCACGGATCACCGTGATATCAAAAAACTCGAGGCCACAATTCTGGAGCATGTGAAGAATGAGGAGCTCTTCCCTGAGGTTGTCCGAGTGCTGCCACCCGTCTACAGGCAGGTGGAAGCTGCCATCGTGGATATTGCACAGAGTGAGGAGATGGCAGATCATGGTGAGTGGTCTGTCACCCCCACTGCACCGTCCTGCAAGGACTTGCTGTCCTGCAGCTGGGATGAGCTCTCTGGTGCTTGTTGCACCTTCTGACCCTGCTCATGTGGTAGTGGGGTCACTGCTGACGACCTTGCAGCGTTATTGCTGGAGCATTAATTGCTACTACCCAGCTCCATCATTACGAGCATCTGCCCTAAGGCAGGGGCCTAGGGAAAAGCACAGGAAAAGGCCAAGTGTGTCTTCACCAGGAGGCTCTGCCAACATCTACCAGCCTGTGGCTGGGGGTACCCTGAGCTGGCCACGTTGTCTGGTTTGTTTCTTTCCAGTAACATTGTTCTTTCTCCCCTTTGCCCTTTATAAGCAATTCAAAAATCTTTCAGGAAGGAGCTCCACAGCTTTAATGCTTCTATGTGGTTTCCAAACCTGTGTCCTGCTAACTTTATTTAATGGCCTCTACCACTCCCTAGCCCTTTCTCCGTCTCTCCTGTGACTTAGCAGGCAGCCTCAGCTCCTCGCTTACGTACCTAAAGCAGGTATGAATACCACCAGCGCTCGGTGTCGTCTCTGACTCCCCTGGCCGCTGTAGGATTAGTGGATGAAGAACAAATGCCTTTCTTTTCTGGAGATAAGCCAGGTTTTGTTACCTGTCTGGCTGCATGACTAAATAGCAACCTGAGGTTTAAGTGCCAAGCTGAGGTTTTCTGGCTGGAAACAAACCTGCTCTCTCAAACAATGAAAAAATCCAGTATTAGCCTAATTTTTCAGATGCTCCATTGAGGTCCTGACAGGCTGTTGGCACTGCTGAAGCAAGGCAAGACCGTGGAAGGTGCGGGGTGACAGTGGGATAGCTGAGGATGGGTTTTTTGGGCCACAGCCACTGGGCATCGTGCTGGTCCCACCTGCTTCCCCAGGGATGGCATGGGTGACATTGGGTGCTGCTGGTGTTTGTTGGCTCTCTAAAGCACCTGCCTTGGAATGCTGGTGTCCAAGAAATGTGTGCTGAGCTCTCATGTCTCCCTCTAGGTATGATGGACCTCCAGTACCTGCTCAGCAAACTCTCCCAGTGCAAGCACCTGGCCAGCCTGGGCAGAGAGCTTCTCCAGGACATCTTGCGGTACCTCCACCGCATCGGGCTTGTCGTGTGGTACGAGGAAATCAAGCACCTGGAAAGCACTGTTTTTCTCCAGCCAACGTTCCTAATAACTATGTTCAAGGTGAGTGTGGGGATCAGGACTGTCTTCTCTGCAGGACCCAAGCTCTGCAGCTTTGCTGGGCTCCTCCCAGCACCGCCTTTTCTCTCCTTCTCTTCCCACCCAGCTCCTTGTGAGGTACCGCCTAGTCCAGCAGCTCGAGAGCATCTCTGTGGACACACTTATTGGGGAACATGCCACCATCAGAGACAGGTCCAACTGGGTGTGGACCTTCAGGTCAAAGGCAATGCTGTGCCACCGGGCTGTGCGTGCCTTGGTGAAGCACCAGCTCTGTTCAGAAGGGATGCAGGAGCTCTTTGAGGAAATCATGGGACACGGGCCCCACAGAGGTAGAGGGAAGCTCTTCAGCCTCCTGAAGCACTTTGAGCTCTGCCTGGAGGTGCGCCACACTGAAGCGCTCAACCCACAGGCCAGTGAGTTTGTGCCTGGGAAGCCGTGGGAGACAACACGGGGCCAAGGTGAATCCTGGTACTTGTTCCCAACCTACCTGAACCAGACCGAAGAGGTCTCTGAGGTGTGGGGAGGAGATCACCCCGAGGACCTCCACATCCGTGCCTACTTCTCACCCGAAATACCTGAGGGTTTCTTCCAGAGGTAAGCAGTGGTTTCCAGCCCTCAATGTGGGTCATGCGGTTCGGGGTTTGCTCAGTGCAACACCAGTATGTGTGTCAGCAAGTCCTTGGCTGTTGAGACTGTATCAGCCAAGGCATGAGGCCAAGACTCAGGAGACCAGGGCAGCTTGCCAGCTCTGCCACAGATGTGCTGAGCCTTGGATGAACCATTTTGATGTTTGCTGCCTGGACATGAGTGAGGATGTCTAGATGACAGGATCACTAGAACCTTCTGGTTCACGTATCATCTAGAGTGGTTTTTGGCTAGTCGGTGACCATCCAGGCAGTCAGAGGTCTCCCAGTCCCCCATCTGAGGATGGTCTGGTTTCTATGGGTACTGGGACTGTTCCAGTTTCTGGAAGGTCTCCTGTCCTTGTGGGGTTCTCAACTTGTTTCCAGGGTTTTATCTGATGGCTGACTCTGGAAGTAGCTCTTGGCTTATAAGGCTGTTCCTGCTGCTTAAGCTTTCAGTAGAGCAGGGTCATCACTTGGTGTCTGCCTCTGTTTCTGCTGAAATTGGGTTCATATTTTTCAAATCCACCTGGTGTCACAGTTTCTCCCAGTGTTAGAGATATACAGGGAAGAAGGGTGGTGAAAGCTGTGGGCAATCTCCTTGCAGGTTCCTGGTGAAAGCTTGCTCCTTCTATGCCACGCACTGGGTGGCCAAGGCAACCTGTCTGCTCATATGCAATGGCAAACCTCTGCTGATAAAAGAGAATAACCAGAGGGCCTACAGCTACCTGGAGCTCCGGAGCAGAAAGCCAGCAGGAAGGACAGGTAAGGATTCCTGATCTTTATTTCATGACTCCCAATCACATGTCTCTCCTTTGCTCCTCCCTGCCACCTCCCCCTTCTGGGCAGAGCATCCCAGAAGCCTCTGCCACGTGTCCTAGATGGCCAGGTTCCACCAGCAGTTCAAATAAAGATTTCCCCTTCCTCCATGCAACCTGGTCAGGATTCCTCTCAATGTATCACATGAAAGTGGGAAGTCAAGTTTTCAATCTTCCCATGGAGGAAATGGGTCATCCTTCCCCGTAAGGTCCCAGCAGAGTACAGGCATGGGTTGGGTCTTCAAGTGCTAAGCAAAAGGGCCATCCCAGTTGGGGAACTCTTCCAACATATCTTTAAATTCCCTTTGAAAGCTGATGGGCCTTGGTTAACTTGAGAAATGGTGCTGGTCCAACTGTTCTGGCTCTGGTCTGGCAGGCTGGAAGTGATGCATGTGTCACTGCAGCAGCTCCTGGGCTGCTGCGGTTGGGTAGTTGTGAGTGAGATGATGTTCTCCTTTTGCCTGAAAGGTTTCCGATTTGCCTGGGACTTCCTCATGGCAGTTGTGTTCATCATCCAGAAGCTCGCCGAGGAGTGGCCGGGGCTGCACGTGTGTGTGAAGACCCCCTGCCGAACGGCTGGCTGTCCCGCTGAGCTCATCTGGCCAGACATGGATGGCACAAATGCCATGTACGTACACACTGCGCCCCTCCAATCCAAGGGCTGGAGCTGGGTGGTTGCTGCTGGGGTGGGGCTGGTCAGCTTCTAAAAGCCATGTGAAATTAGTTGCAAAACTCACCAGGCACTATGTTGTCCTTCGCCTGACCATAGCACGTCCCATGTGCTGTTAGCATTTACTTGTGTGGGAAATTCAAGCATGGAAAGAAAGGTGAAAAAGTTGAGGCTCTGGGGCTCAGGCACATAATGTCCACTCTGGCCAGGTGCCCACATGTCCCGTTTGATGAAGAGATGAAGGTGCTCAGGCACCTGGTTAAGGCAGCAGCTGTCCCACCAACAGCAGAACCCCAGGTCAGGGTGGAAAGGGGGAGCCTCTAGCATTATCTTCCATGGAAGTGCTGAGGGCAGTTCCTGTTCCTTCTACTTCTCGAGGCTTTTTCCTCCGCAGGACAAAGGAAGATGTTAAAACCTGTGGGACGTGCGGGCACCGCTTTGGTGCAGAGCTGCTCCTGCCCAAAGGTGAGCCCAATGGGCCTGGATTTGCACCACAACCATGCTTGGGGGAGAGGAGGGTTGTAACAAAGCTGAGGTGCTGATGGTGTCCACCCATCCCCACAGTGCCCAGGCAGCTGGAGGAGCCCCCAGTGCAACCCTCTGCTCACTATTATGTGACCAGCTACGGGACCACCACCTTTGGGACCAGCAGCATCCATGTCAATCACCAGGTAAGGAGGCTGCCACCTCCCCTTGCCCAGGGTCCAACACCAACGGCCAGGCTCGTCCTCTCCCCTTGCTCCTGAAATGAGGGGATGCAGCTGCTTCCATCCTGGTGAGGGGACACGCCACCTTTGGGCAGCACTCTGGTTACCCCGCTCCTCCCTGAGACACCACCATCTCTGCGCCTCAGAGCTGAGTTCTGGGTGCTTCGTGTGGTAGTTACTGCCTTCTTTTTCCAGAACATCTCGAGCAAGTAACTCTGGGCCAGCGGGGAGGCTCTTGCTGAAGAAAGAAGTTATTTCTGTTTAGCCAAAGCCAGGCTGGCCTCAGCACACTCTGCTTGCGAGTCCTGCTGGCAACCTTCATGCGTGGAAGTAAATGCATCAATAAACGCATCCCTTCGTGCACGGGAAGTCACCTCTTTCACACAAAACTAAAGGGGAGAAGGTGCTGAGCCCACTGCCAGCAGGGGCTTTGCTGGGACGAGGCTGGCCACAGCCCCATGTGGTTTTGGGGGAGGGAGGGGTGGGTGGAGGTCTCGGACCGATAGTCGGGGCAGGTGTCTGGGCAACATCAGCACGCAGGAGGCACCTTTCTAGACAGATATATTTAAACTTAGAAAACTTAAGAAAATAAATCTGTAAATGAACCCACTCCACAAAAAGCACACATTAGCGACTACCAGAGGGGAAAAGCAACATGTCAGCTCCAGGACCGGCCAGCAAAGCTGTGGGGGGAGCAGAAGAGGAAAGGTCCACACCATAGGCATCCCACCGTGGTGCTCCTGGAGGAATGCTGGGTTGAATGGCCCCTGATGCCCGGTGGCCCCCAGCACGGGCTGGTGCCTGTCCTGGGGGGCCAAGGGGGAGCAGAGTGGGTGAGGGTCAGTCCATGTCCATGTACTGCTCGATGAGCTCGAAGAGGCTGAAGGAGTCGGAGAGCTGCAGGCTGACGGTGCCGCTGTCCAGGGAGGAGGCTCCTTGCAGCTGCACCTGCCTGTGCCAGTACTCGCAGAATTTGGGCACCAGCTGTGGCAGCAAACCATCGGGGTTAGGGGCTGCTGCCTGATGTGGCTGCAACACCCTGCAGCACCCAGACACTCATCTCCCCTGGCCCCTGAGGGTCCCCATCCCTGGCCCCTGAGGAACCCCCATTCTTGCCTGGCCCCCGAGGATCCCCCTCCCAGGGCACCCTGACACTCATCTCCTCTGGACTCTGAAGGTCCCCAGATCACATCTCTCCCCAGCCCCTGAATGTCCCCCTCCTTGGGCTCCCAGACCTCCATCTCTTTTGGACCCTGAGAGTCCCCCTCCCTGGGTACTCAGACCCCCATCTCCCCTGGACCCTGAGGGTACCCTGCAGGAGCACCCAGAGCCCCATTTCCCACAGACCTCCAAGGTGCCCTTCCTCAGCCACCCAAACTCCCCCACCTCCCCTGGCCCCCAAGAGTCTCCCCCTCCCTGGGCAACAGTAGGACAGGGGTGGGTGTTGGCACCTTGACCAGGATGAGCTTGGTGTCCTTGCCCTTGTCCCTGTCCTTGGAGAATAACTGCCCAAAGCAGAGGTAGATGGTGAAGTCAGGGGACTGCTGCCTTTGGCGGTTGTGGAAGTCCCTCAACTCTGCAAGGGAAAAGAGGACTCAGCTTTGGGGGTGACCCCAGGAAACATGGAGGAGCTGGGAGGGTTCAGATGCTCGGGTCATCCCGGAGCTGGCTCCCACAAGCCCCAAAACTCAGGGGCGGGG